TTCTATTTTAAATGAACAGCTTAAAGCACCTCATTCTAGAAGAGAGCTCATGACTATGAATCCTAAACGCAGACAAGCACCTGGGCCTCACAGAGAAATAGTTCTTTAAAAATCCATTTACCTTAACCAATTATGAAATGTGGAAACCAGCATGCCCCAGCTCAGTAAGGGAGAGCCAGGCAGCAGCCCCATGGGGTACAGAGGCCACTCCCGGACCCAAGCACATTACTAGGACTCGCAGCAATGAAATCCCAAGTGAATGCAGTCCTCATCTCATAATAGCTCTCTTCTCTCCTTGCCAAACCAACTACAATGCTCTACCACACAAGGCAAGTGCAAATACTTCAAAGATTTGAGGAATACTTTAAAGATGTTTGAAGAATCAGGGCTATCCAAGTATCTTAAATAATACACATTTTAAAAACTGGATGCCCAGGTCTGTCCTTTTGCCTGCAGTTATGGCCAGAGAAGTATCCCTTGAAGCATTCTTAATTTAGAATATCAAACTTCTTTTTTCTAACCTGTGGGACATTCAAATATTTAAAATCCATATTTGCATTTTATAGTTTCTGTATAAAGACATCTTTGTACAATTAACAAAATGTAAAGCAAAGAAACCAGAGAAGGTGCAAGACTACACAGTTTCTCCTCCAATGTCCTGTCATTAGCCTGTAGTAGTAGACCAAGCACAATACCTACATTATAGCCATGAGATATCAGCTTAATCATCTGCCCAATTAACTCAGCTTTACATGGTGTAAAATTGAACCAGAAAGCCCTGCAAATGTCAATGAAATTCGCCCTGAAGACCTTCTGTTTGCAGGAAGCTGAGGACGCCATTAGGCTCAAGGAGAAGGAAGGGCTGGGATAAGCCCTGTGTGACATATCTGCACTCGGACCTGGACCACTCACTGCCTTCCCTCTCCTCCACACATCTGTGACACCTCTTGCCTGAGCAACTCCTGCTTGCAGCTGGATTTATCAGTGCCCCAGGTCCTGCTTCCAGGAAGAACAGCTGCACACCATAGCTGCGAAGCCCAGTACACCTGGAAGAGGGAGTAGGGGGCTAGCACTGGAAGGGAAACGGGAAATGGGAACAGAGCCTTGCTTTGAGGCTCAGCCTAGGTGGGTCCCAGAGGCAGGTTAGGAGCTCAGGAAAACAAAAGAACAAGAGATCCTGTTTCTTGCTGCATGGACCTGGCTGTAAATGAGGAAAATTCAGTTAAGTGGTCAGTGGCTGTGCTGGGTCAGGACCACAGCATCTTGTCTGACTCACCTACAACAAGCTGTAGTTCATACCCTCACCTTGGAATCGTCCATCCTGGCATCCTGTGGGACCTGTCCTAGTTCAGCAATCACCTTCCTTCTCTTCTAACAAAGAACACCACAGAGGTGTCCCGATTTGGTGTCACCACACAGAATCCCTCCTTTACCTGATTCTTTTACATTCAGAAATTAAAAGCATGAAATGACACTTGACGTTTGTCCTTCCCTGACCCCAGGTACTAAGTAACTTGGAGGAATAGGTGAGCTCTAACAGGCACATGGAAGTAGTGGCAGGTTAGTGATACACATCAGAGGATGTGATTGACTAAGGGGAATAATACAAAGCAGTACAAAGCTGTAAGGTGTTTCCCCTTAACTGCATTTATCCGGTTAGGCAAATCTTGGTGAATCTCCTGGAGACCTGGGAAGAAAGCAAAGTTGAACAAATTAACTTCATTGCAGCAGAAGAATCACAACTTTTCCTGGAGAGCCTTCCTTTCTAATCACTGTGAAACTTTCAGTGTCACATTTTGACCGGCACAGAGACATGCGTAATATGATCAAAAAAGACTGTACTATTTTTCTTGATCTGGCATGAAGCCACTCAAACAATCTCAGGAATTTTTTCCATATCGACAGGTCTCAACTCTTTCAAACCAAATAAAAAAAACTCTTGATGATTCCAAAGGGAGCAGGGTCACATTCAAACAGTATTTAAAAAGCAGATAAGCTAGTTGGAGTAGATATTATTATGTCATCTTTGGTACTATTTGGTGTCCATTACTACAGCACCTTAACACTTTACAGGCTGCAGTGCAATTACACTAACACTGTCTGTGTGAATAAAGACATAGTTATTTTCTTGATTTCAGAGATGGTAGGCTGAAGCACATAGAAATAGGTTTGGGTTGGTAAAAGGGCCATTACTGAGCCTACCAGATCTGGCCATACATGCAGAGTGATAGTAGAAAAGGTCTGTGAATCCAGCAGCATCTCTCTGTGGTCACAAAGAGTTAAGTGCTCTTAGGCTCCAGATGGGAACACAGCCAGGACAACTCAACATCCTTAGCCAGAAGAAACCACCACACCTGGGAAAATTGCCTGGCCACTTGCATCAGCAATGCTTTACCAAAAGATGTCAGGCAGAGTACCATAGCCTGTTACAGGCTTGGGAACTGCTGTCTATGTTTTATTTAAATAAAACCATTCTACACCTATAACAAGCGGGGTGGACACCCCTATAAGTGACTTGTCAGTCTACAGTCTTTGCAGCAGTTGAAAAGGATTTTGAGGTATAAATGATGCCTCAAAAATAGACATAGGTCCACAAAAGGACTTGTGAACCTAATTCTAGCATTTAATTGAAAGATCTACTTCTGAAGAGTGCCTTACCTCCATTAAATCATTACTTCAATTAAATTATTGATGAACTGATGTGCAAAGGTTAAAAATAAATATAACCAAAATGAATGCCAACAAAAGCCATCATCTCCCAAACTATAATTAAAAAGGCTCGTCACAGCTAATATAAAATCTTTGCCAGGTTCCCAGTTCTGACCTTTTATTTTTTTCCTGGTTACTGAATATTGTCCTCAGATAATCCATGTTTGTTTCACTATTAGAAATTTTTGAGCTTAAGCAGAACACACTTGATGCACGTTTTACATGTAGTCTTCTCTTTTTCTGTTCTCATTCCCATCTGTTAGGATGCCTTGGCACCTTGTCATACATTGGATAAATCTTGCTGTAAGGAAAAGCTCAAGTGCAATGGATGCATCATACATGTGAGATTTGCCAAAAGATTTATACTAACTCAATACTCCTGGAAAAAAAAAACTAAATAAAAACCTGGGCATTCTTATTTTGAAAGAGTGTTTTAACTCAAAACTGTTCCTGAAGAAAATACAACTCTAGCTGTCTATTCACTGGGTGCAAGATCATCCAACAATATGGGAAAACAGAAAATATCCCTTACTAAAACATTTTAAGGATGAGATTATGACTATGTTTCTCCAGAACATACCCTCTTATGTCCACAGTGTTTGCCTGATGTAATTTTATCATGTTTCTAGTAGGATTACTCCCAGAGCATGGTGCTGTTCTGTGTGATGAATGATTGCAGAACTGAACATCAAATTAATATAAGAGAATATCACTAATTAAAAGAAGAAATATTTGTTAAAAAATCTGAGAGTGGCCATATGCAATATATATAACAAAAGGCGACTAAATTCAGCTAATAGCTTTGCGTTTGGAGGAGAGGCTTTCAAGCTTTCATCATTCAAGCTTTGTTTTTGTGAATAAAATTATATAGCCAGGGCCCATCCAGTGTAAATAAGTGTATGTACTCTTCAGTTGTCTGTGCACATCTCTGGTTACCCCTAGTTTCTGACCCCAGGTTGCACTATTTTTATCTTGGTGAGTTTCTATATAAATTTCCCACTACTATCAATGCAATCACATCTGTGATTACTTCCATAGCAACCAAAAGACCATGTAACTCGAAAGTCTTTCTTCATCTTGGCCAGCAATACCATCAGTGTCAGATTCTGTGCCTCTGGCAGTAGCTAAAAGATCATGTTCAGTGAAGGCAGGACAAATGTATGAACGTGTACCAGCAAGGTATGACTCCAGGTTCTTCTTGGGATGCATTAGTCGTGTTCACCAGCATTGCATACCTCTCACGTGAACGCAGGATGCAATTCTTACTATGATCCATCTTACTATGGACAGTTCTACTCATATTCCAGATACAAATATGAAACCAAGTGCAATAATTCAACTGGCTATGTTCGTATTAAAAATTATTTCACTTGTGTACATCTCTCAAAGTAAGGAAAAAACCAAACAAACTAAAAAACAAAAATAAAACCCAAACAAACAAACAAACAAAAAACACAACAAAAAAACCCACCCAAGACTATCCAGTTAGCTTCTCAGAATGTTATATATTCATTCCAGTTCTTGGGTAACTGGGTAAATGTTGCTGGGGTGAATGTTTTTATTGGTCGGAATCTGAGCATTCTCAAGTAAAATCCAGGAGGTTTCTCAAATTATTCCATATGTCTGACAGCCCTAAAACTGTGATATCTGTTTATCATCTTGGACCAGTTGTTACAAAATAAGATTGTGTGACAAAGCACTCAATTATTACCTGATAAATATTTCAAAAGTATAATTGTTTTTATAAAATAGCAGTTCAGATAACTAATAACATGAGGGAAAATTCAACTGCTTCCCATATAAACTGCTCTCTCACTATGGAATTATATCATGTGCTTGCAATAACTTTAATCTGTTCTTTTGGAGAAGCTGGTAGAACTAGAGGTAGACTGGTGCGTAAATGATAATAAGATGAGTAGAATGAGATTCTTTGAAACTATCGGTTCATTTCTTAGCAGTGATTACTTGATCATTCATCTGTTGATGTCTGATAAAAGCAATACAGTTACTGCTTCACATTTGATTTGCTGTGCTTGTACTTTCAAAACTCACAATTTTCAACAGAAAAAGCCCGTATTTCACAGGAATGTGAAACTTGCTGTAGGGAGTGGTGTCACTCTCCTCCCTCTCCTCTCTTGTGCAGGCAAGTTGCTCATCACCATGAGGTAGTCAGACCTCAGTGTTTCACCAGCTAAAATTCTGTGCATTAATTAACAAGGTATTAATGCTGCCCAGTACTCATTCATTGTTAAAATCTGTTTTCCTTCTGAGCAAGTAAGAGTAATTACGGTGTTGTTACTTCCAGGTCACTCGTCTTGTTAGAAATTCAACTAGCAGTAGTAGAAGATGATAGTTATCTCATCAGAAATCCTGGTTATGATTGGCATGGTGCCTATTGACATTTGAGTACAAATTGCACTAACAGGCAGAGAATAAGAGACTTGTGAAGGGAAAAGTGTAGAAATCCTGCCATTTGGTATTTGTTGCTTCTCTGTTCATTTTTCTGTTTCTACAGGAAGGGGAAAAACCAGAATTGTAACCTTAAAATTCAGACAAAGATAACTATACAGATGTGTTGCTTTTAATACTTCTTTGCCAGGTAATGGACGTCCCTGGTTCACCCTAGGGACTACAACCAAAGAAAATAATTATGAGAAGAAATTTCATATGTGCTAAAGGCAATTTCATTGTGTAAAACTAGAGGACTCCATATAAATCATTCAGTAGGGATGTTTGAGAAGCCAGAAAATTCAAATGGTTGAAAGCCACTGGCGTAAATTAGTACACAATTCACCTTAAAGTCGAAAACATTTTAAAATGAGACAGACCAACAGTGTAGAACAGATACAGTGAAGTTTAAATTGGACTCACACATTTAATGATTACCTATTAATACTTTAATCTAATGTTTTGTTTATATATTATGATAGGTAGCTAATAAATAACTTCAAAATCCATCATTTCAGTCCCTAAACTATTAACACAGACTACCCAAAGCACAATCACAGTAACAGACCAATCTTAGCCTGTGTACCCTATTGTAGGCTGTATTTGGTTTGATCAGGGTTCTCCTCCCTGCAGTTTTCATGCATACTTTACTTGATATTACCTACATTCAGTACAACAGCTAATACATTTTTTATATATATACCTGAGCTAAAAATTAATCAGAGAATAAAGAAACTATCTCCTTAGGTCCACATAGTGCTAGCTGGTGTAAATCTGCAGCAAACACCAGGAAAAAAAATGGGGTTACCCACCTGCTATGGCATATTACCCACTTTCATTACTTCACTTAGTTCTGCAGTTAACTGTGGTGGTCCTGCCTGTGGCACAACTGGGGACAACGTCATGTGGTGTCTGCTCTAGGTGTTATTCATTCATAACAACCTAATTAGAAGTTTTCGGAGCAGAGAGGCAGCAAATCATAGTCACATTTCTGTCATAAGCCCTGTCCCTGGGACAGGACACATCCAAAACCCCCTTTACGTTATGCAGCAGACATCCCTGGTTCAACCCCCTGGAGCAGTTTCCTGAGCAAGTAGTATTGATCTGATTAACCTCTTTTAGCAGGGTTTTGAAACAGATGAGGTGGTGTAGATTTGCTTTCGATTTTAAGACCTATTTGTTCCTGTTTCTTTTCATGACCTATTAGCTGAATGTCACTGCTTTGTAGAAATGAACCTGTTTAATTCTTCCCTTTTTTAAGGGTAGAGAACATGGCCATGCGACTGGAAGAAGTAAATGAGCGAGAGCACTGCATGAAAGCCTCTCTGCAGACGGTTGATATCAGACTTGCTCAGCTGGAAGATATGATGGGACGAATGGTGACTGCCTTAGAAAAACTGACTGGCATAGAGAGAGGTGAGACAACCAAGATACGATCCAGGACCTCATCCGACTGTACTGATGCAGCCTACATTGTGAGGCAGAGTAGCTTCAATAGTCAGGAAGGAAATACTTACAAGCTTCAAGAGAGCATAGATCCCACGGGAGAGGAGTCCATGTCTCCAACGTCTCCTACAATCACACCCCGCATGCGAAGCCACTCTTTCTATGCAACAAATATGAAGGACAAGTGTGGGTTGGAAAAGTTTGAAAGCATATTTAAGGAAAGATCTCCAAGCCTGCATCGGGCTATCAGTTCCCACTCAATAGCAAAAGAAGGAAAGGCTCCCTTAGCCCCTACCAGCACTTTGTCAATTGCCCCAGATTCCAGAAGGCCTTCGTCTTGTATAGACATCTACGTTTCTGCCATGGATGAGATGCATTCTGACACAGAGCCTCTTGACAGCTCCATAACTATTCTTGGTACTGGAGATGCAGCTCTGCAGGCTCACATAGCCTCTTCCATTTTAGCTAACAGTGCGTACATTAGCAGTACACCTGGTGAAAAAATTTCTGGCAGGAGTCTTGATTACGAGGAAACCTCTGGAATAGAAACAAGAGCCTTTTCTTCAGACTATTCACAAATCACAGATTGCCAAATCCCCTGGGATTCAGACCCTCCCTTGTATCACACTTTAGAGCGATCTAAAAGCAGTCGTTACCTGGCTACAACTCCATTTATTCTGGAGGAAACGCCAATTGTGAAATCTCACAGTTTTATGTTCTCTCCATCTCGAAGCTACTTCAGCAGCCTTGGCGTCCCGGTCAAAACAGCAGAGTACACAAGCATTACGGACTGTATAGACACGAGGTGTGTGAGTGCTCCCCAGGCCATCGCAGAGAGGGCCAGTTTCCCTGGAAGTCTCGGGGGCAAAGTGGAGGACTTGGGATGCTGCCACCCAGAAAGAGAAGCTGAACTAAGCCACCCAAGCTCTGATCATGAGGATATTGAGGCCAAAGACAAGAAGGGGATCCCCTTATCTCCTCAAGACAGCAATGCTACAAGAACTCTGGCCAACAGCATCCCACTTCCAAAAATAGAGCGGGCCAACAGCTACTCTGCAGAGGAGTCCAACATGTTGTATGCACAGCATACGCGGAAGAGCTACTCTATCAGTGACAAACTTGACAGGCAGCGAAATGCAACAGGCCTGCGAAACCCCTTCCAGAAGAGTAAGTCCTCGAGGCCAGAGACCAGAGGGGACAATCTGTCCATGAGGAGACTGTCAAGAACGGGAGCCTTCCGTAGCTTTGAAAGCAAGCACAGCTAAGCCTAGACAATGCTCACCGGCAGTCTAAGGGTCATCTGCTCTCCAGTCCATTTTTCTTAGCAGAATTTAAAAAAACCCCTCACATTACCCCTTGTCAAATCCAGTTGGCATTAGCCACTGGTCAAGAGAGCACATTGTCAGTCTCAGCATCGCCCACTGAGTCACTGCATCTTGACCCAGCTGACATTTGCACTTAAGGAAAAAGGGAGGAATGAAAGCTTTACAAAGACTTCAGTAAACAACAGGAATAACAAGGCCCCTTTATGAAGTCACAAGAAATAAACTATTAGGTTCAGAAATCTGCCTTTTATTAGAAGGCATCCTAAGATTTTTGGTCATTTTTCAAGCTTTTAGGATGCAGGAATTAACTGGCAAAAAGAGATGTACAAATTAGATGTTCTAAACATCAATCACAACTTCTTTTTCATCTGTTTCACCATTGTGATGACTGATGAAAAGCATTTGTTATTTCTGTAGGAACTGGCAGCAAACAAACCTAAAGTTTCCCAAATCCCTTGCATCCCACACTTGTGGAAATGAAGAAAGATGAACAAGATAACAACCATAATGTTCACTTGTCTGTTTTTGTATCAACTTCTAGTGCCACAAAAAGTTTATATTTTCGAGAGCAGAAAGGGAAATGAAATGCCTTTTGTACTACAACTTAAATGGAGGAAGAATTTATGTTAAAATATCAGGTGATTTCCTGTATAAAACAGGCATTCTAGATTCTAGCACAGCTGAGCAAGCTCAGGATGAATGTAATTAAGCGGAATAGTATATATTTATTTTTGTACCACATTTGTCATCAATATGTTGTCTCACTAAATCAAAGGATGTTATGGAACAGTAAGAACAGGGTGATCAGAGCAGAGCACAGTCAGATTCTCACTGCTCCATTTAATTACGTATACAAATTGGGGAGATTCATCCACCAGGCTGCTACCAGGCTCTTCTTGCTGTTCCATTTGAGCTGCCGATTTTTCACATCATTCCTTCACCTTTTTTTTTTTCATGAGGACATGGCCGTATTTGAACATTTCAAAGTATACAAGATTTATCAAGCAGTCTGAATCCAGATTAATGCAATTAGACTGAAGTTGCTTAAGGGAAAATGTTCTTGGCAGAGGACTGGAGAACACTAAAAGGTATATATGCTTTTAAGGTAAGTTAAAGAACCAAAGTGAAACTGCAGGTGTCTGTAAACAGTAGAAGCCATCAGTTGTGACTAGGTATCCACCCTTCAGCAGCATGTCACACAATGTGCATTTTTAGCAGCAGAACATACATCTGAACGGTAGCACAGTTACGGGTTTTAGTTGAAGACAGTCATAACTCCACTGGCCCTACCCACGTCCCAAGGCTCCACAATGTCAGCCAAATTTTCAGACTTCTCATGAGAAGATATCACAGTGTTCACAGGTGGAAGGGTATGCAGAAGATAGGAAAAGGGTGGAGAAGCATAAACTGCAACTGGATCAAAATTTCACATCCTTTATGAAGGCACAACTTTTAAGTTTGTAAAGAGTTGAAGCTAGTGCTATTAAAAATTAAAACATCTCTACAATGACCAACATCTGTGTAGAACCAGCTCCTTTTTGTTATTAAAAATGAACACTTGCAAGTGGGGTACATACTTCCCATTATTTAAATGGGAATTATCTTCCAAATCTCTAAGGCAGCTTTGAAAATGCAGGCTGATGTTTTCTCACTGGGATCTCACCCTGGGACACTCTGAGCACCATAAGAGAGCTAAGTCTGAAAGGCAACAAATCCAGACATAAAAATAATCATCAATCTCAAGAAAAGAGGCAAAGAAGGGGAAAACATTTAGTTACTGAGTCACTACGTTGGAATATTCAGGAAATAAAGAAATGCAGCATGGGGACTTTAAGTACAATGTGTTTCATACTTCCTGCACCAACGTGTTCCTTGCTTTCTTCTATTTGATCAGGCTTTCAATGAGCTAAACTCCACCAAGACACCGTGTTTATGCAATTGCCTTGCAGTCCATGTGCAGCATTATGGTCACATGGCAACACCAAGAAAGGTCAGAAACCTTTCTGTGCATTATGAAGCATGCTTGTGACAGGCTGATTGTCGAACAACAGCAAAACGCCCAGGGGCAAAGGAACTTGTGTTTAACAATCTGCTTCAAATGTGCCAAGTTTTGTTAGCAGCCTTTTCCTAAGGCTTCTCCAAATCTATCTATCCTTGGTGAGTAGAGGGGGATATTCTCACTTTGTTTTCTTTGTTACTTTTACGAATGTCTGCTAAAACTGTTCGTGGACTCTTCCACCTTCACCGTATTACTGGTCTACTCTAGAGGAACTTCAGATTCATTAGAAATTCCTCAACAGCGCTTAGTGAATTAGTTCAAGGCATAGGGCTCTCCTCTGGGGTACATTTCATTGCTTAGTTTGTCAGGGTAAAGGAATTTGCCAAACCCAGAAGCTGTATAAATGTTTAGGATACAGCACTTTATTGATCTGGAGCACACATTCCAGGTAAAATGAAACAGGACACTTTATTTACCTCTTAAAATTTGCCATTATATATAAAATGTAAATTCAGATGTTAAAAGTGTGATTGCAAGATGTCAGAACACTACTTTTCCTGAATGTTTCCCATTTATTCTACCATGTGCTGTCTATAGAATATATTATGATGGATGTTAGATTATTTTATCTTCACCTGTTTTTTACACATTACATCAAACTGCTCGTTTTTGAATTTAATGGTAAAACACCCATTCCTTGTAATGGGCCTAGAATTCCCACTCCCGATATTGTGATCATTTAGTGAGAGTAGAAGTCTTATCATCCATCATTATGTAGCTATAGCATGTGCCATATGACATATTCTGTATCAAAAGATAGCTTATGAAATATATATATATACACACATATATACATATCTCCCATATATAAAGCAGTATAGTTGTGACATGTGGTAATATTAGTGAACGTTACAGGACAGTTTTAATATCACATTACAAGGTCTTGTCTGTAAATCTGTAACATTCAATAAAATAGCACATGTTGCATCAAGCATTAAGTTCCACTATCCAGTTATTAGCTTACATATGGAATATGCATTTCGGGTCACAGTGCGTAAATTTGGTTCGTTTCACACATTTCTCTGTATAGCTCCACTTAAATGTCTGTATGAGTTGATGTATAAACCTCTAATGAGCCACTGTGGGCTGTGACAGGGGAGTTGTGATAGTGTGAAAGATGAACTGGCATGTTATGCAAAAGATTATAAGATAAATGAACTTTAATAATATTTTAAAACTCAACTGAACTTAGCTGTTTGTTTACATATGCTGGCTGACTGAGGAAGCGGTGTACAGTATTTTATAGATATTTTCCTATAGTAATCCATTCTGTTGTTTCCAGTTTAAGTGATACTATTCTACAGTTGGGGTATACACTTGTCCTAGGTATTGGATTATAGCACATTATTCTTTCACAATAACAGTGTGATATGACTGAAGTAGTTTCTCTTCCTTACAGTCCAGTCTTTTTTTGTGTCAATGAAAATGCATGCATTGTTCCATGAATTTCTTTGGACTACTATGAGACTTAACATTTTGCTATTGCCTGCCTGTAAAGATGAATCCAGTTAGGAATGAATTCAAGCTTTTGGATGTTTACATTATTTCCATTATGTTTGATCTTTAGCAAAGTAAATGATTTTTTTATTATTTTTAAATTACAATTGTATTTTATGAAATTGAAATATTCAACACAAAATGCGAACCTACAGCAGTGCTCAGACATTTGGCTCTCTCTTTTTTTGGAAGAGATAAGGTGCTACATTATTGTTCTTAGCACAAGTGCCAGTTAACAAATGGCAGTGAGGGGATAATTTGAAAATATAATGAAAAACCAAAACATCCATTCATCCACATAAGGAAATCCCTCTGGGTTCCAGACATAGATTGCGTTGTTTTTTTTTTCATTTTCCATTTATAGATTTTTTGGTAAAAAAAACTGATTTGTACCTTTTGTGGAATGGATAACCTTTTGTCAGGGGATAAATATCTTAGTTAGGTATATTTTTTGTATGAGAAGAAAATGATCTGTTTCTTAGAAACTGTCAGCATATGGAAAATGCAACTACACAAATAACTGCTCAAAAAAAGTGCTGGTAGCAGCACACAGCCTTAGTCCAATGACTGCAGTCGGAGCAAACAAGTATCTGTCCTGAGAGCAGAAGTTATCAAAGGTATTAACTTGGAGTGAGCCAGTGAAACAAAATTCTCTGTAAACTCATGGTGCAAATTTTCAAAACAAGCATAAATGTCTTGTTATGTTGCTCAGGTTATATACTTAGGAGGATCTGATAATCACCAGAAGGGAAAACGTGAGCTGGTCATTCCTGGATTTCCCTAGGAATACTTAAGTAGTTGTGATGTCTCTCCCCTGCTTAAAAATAATAGTATATTTGCGTTTTTGCACAAATATGCACAATTATTTCAACAAAGGCCACATTTTCAGTTCTGTTAAAAGATACCAGGTATAGATCACCTTCTTCAAAAGAAATGGGAAAGCTTCCTAGCATGAATTGTCCCTCATCCACCTCAAATAACAGCACAGTCCAGATTGGGCAGAAGTAAAGCGTTGGGGGTGCCTGCTTACCTAATGAAACCCTTCATTTCTCTAGATGGTATTCACTGGCCTTGCCACACGTTGGCATAAAAGCAGTGGTGTTGAACGTGGAGGGACTGAGTTTCTGCATGTCAATGGGAGTTGTCCTGCTTTATAGCCAGTCATAGGGTGAACACTACCGGTCACACAGGCTTCTCTTCCCCGAGACTGACTACAATTATGGTCTTACTGATGCTGGTGCAAATCTGCAGAAAATCCACTGATTTCAATGGAGTACTCTGACTTTTGTCAGAGGCTGGATTTATTCTGCGTTTCTAACTCTATATTACTTTGAGTCATGGCACAGATTATCCTAAATCATCAAGCGGGAAGTCTAATGACTGA